CTGGTATTCCATCCGGCCCAACGGCCTTTCCGTTCTTCATACCTTGCACTGCTTTCTTTACCTCATCCACACTAATCTCTTTCACTATACCCATATTAATAGGTAAATATATAATAAATATATAAATCTAGTATATTGTATCATACTAATATTATAAATGCAAAAGTTTAGATAGATGGATAGATTTTCCATGAAATTTGGTACAGATGTAGAGGATAGTCCAGCAGGACAAATAGGCTTCTGACTTTTGTTTTTTTTTTAATTCAATGCGGATGGAATCGCGGGCGAAAGCTAGTAAAAATACTTACTCAATGTTAACAATGCAGGTGCACTGGCTTGTGTATTTGGAGTGTGAGACAGTGGGTATGCTACTTCATTACTATGGAACATACGAAGTTCATTGCGCTGGAATGAGATACAAAATATAATTAAATAATGGAATTACATTACATCTTTGTAGTCACTTATACAATGATCTAAGTATACAAATATCATATTACTTTTTAAATTACTTTGTTGCTGGCTGGTTTTTATATAAATACTATTTTTAACATACTGATAAATACATGATAAGCTAAGAAAATATTTATATACATCTATACTATTATTATAAAGAGAAAAGATTAGTATTTTTTGGATTTTCTTAAGTATTGAAATAATTCAAAAACCACTGATTTCAAAAATTATTTTATCATTAAAACGCTAAATGATCAGTGAGAAACATAGGTTACATTTTTTATTATATCTTAATTTTATGCAGAGCAAATCATGACCACTAAATTACATACTGTTATACACAAATAATACCAACCAAATGGAGAATACTTTTTTTTTTAATAACAGAAGGTGGCAAACGAGCAAGCGGCCACCTGAATACACCGAAATGGAAAGCGACCGCTACCCATAGACATCCGCAAATGCAGATGTGTTGCCTACCCTTAATTGACGGAGGAGGAGACACACATAAAGAGGACATTTCTCCTTCCTATGTGTCTCCTCCACCGTCAAATCCACTATTCCTTCCTATCCTTTCCTCTTAAGAAAAGGGTGGAAAGCAAAAGGGACTAAAATCAGGCCTTCGGCACCACACTCATCAGACGAAACGCGGAATTGCTTCCACTTCACGCCTGTTTTCTGTATGGTCGTGGTATTACACCGGGCGAGCCAACCCACTCCTGCGAAGATGTTAAAGCGGGCTCTACCACTGTTAGATTCTTATTCCGTTTTTATGATGATGTTAAAAAAGTTTTAAGAGGGATTTCTTAAGTTTAAACTAAGTAATATTACGTACTGGTGTAGGAGTACTGGTTCTATCTTCAATGGACAAACTCATAAGTAATTGTGGATGACAGCATTTACCTTCAGATTTTATTCCGAGTAATTTATGCCATGAGTATTTCACCTAGAATTAATTAAAAATAAACCATTTAATCATCTATACTAACATTATAAAGAGGAAAGAGCTTTTATAGATAACTTCTATTAAATAAAAATTACTTTTGCTACATGTAACTTACATCAACAAATTTGTTTGAAGGGCATGGCTGTGCTCCTAATAAACTCAGTAACATATATCCTATCTTATCTTTCCTGCCTTGTGTGCTCGTTGTGAATACTTCAACTTTGATCGGGACATTTTGTACTCGCAAACTGAAATAACAGAAAACAGAAATTACTATACCTGGACATATATTAACAGTAAAATTATCGAGTACTGGATCTCAGATTTACTGCATAGGATTACATTAATAAATAATTAAAGATACCATTATACAAGCAAACTTGGATAAGCGAGAAACCTTTATAATTGTTTGTATCGGTAATATATAACTTTACCTACGAAATCTTCTTTTATCAGCTTCCCAAACCAGTTCAGCGTCAAATGCCGGTGCATGAGTTGGTACAACTGGATCCGTTTCCAGCATATATCCATTGAGAGATCCACTCACGACAAAGGGTATTCGAAGAAATCCAAAGCCAATACCTGGAAAATTTATTTGATTATAAAAAATATACTTCGATATAAGAAAAATGTTTTTAAAGACTCCGATGACCTTCTTTTACATGAAGTACAATTTGAATATTAGGTCCTCGTAATTCGTCCATTTATATTTTTACAAATTACAAATCTAAATAATTAAATACACAATTTATACATGGTAAACAAACTAACTTCCATTTTTGAAATCTTGTTTATTTTCATAACATCCAATCAGAATTTGACAGAAAAGTATTGCCATGTTCCAAAATAATTTACCTTTATTATTTTGTTAATTCTTTAGATCATGTTTAGAGTTATTATGATTCAAAGCTATTTCATTTAATTTTAGTGGTAACTACGTAAATCGCAAGACAGAGATGAAGATAATTAGGAAAACAAACACACAAAGTTAAAGACTTGTATTAGCGCCTAGCATCGAATAGTAGAATTCGGAAAGTCTTTGGCAGGGGACGTCCGATTATTTTTTGTGTTGTGTTTTTAGAATAGTGTGAAAATGATACAAAAGTAATCAAAGTATCATTATTTGTATTGATCAGTTAATTATGTCAGCAGTTAATACTTGGAACGAGAGTCCGTCTATCTCTGTTTTTGATGCCTAGGTATAGGTACTAATACTGACAAAGAGGATGTTTTTCTTCTCCTTGCAAAGTTGTATTAAAATAATTGAAAATTCCACTTTCGTATCAAATAAAGATGTAAACGAGACACGTCAGTGGGCCTTTGGCTCATAGATTTTGTTTGTTTATAATATATAGATACGAATTACACCCAGTAGAAAATACATACTTCTTTAGTAGCTCATACAATAAATTCTTCATGACTCCCCATCTTGTTCGAAATATCTTATTGTGGCAATACGGAACAATAAAAATGTGCCTTGCATTGGCATTTGAATCAAATAATTACTTTTTTTGAATCTCACTGCATTTCTTCTATAATTGTGTTAAATGTTACTGAAACGTTATAAATGCGATTCTAGCTTTTAAGCACATTATTGTACAATAAATGTAGATAAATTTTTAATACCTAAAAAATAAATAAATCGACTATTGACTAGATTTTGTCATAATATTTCCGTTTTTTATTGCTTCTTGTCAGATAATTTAAAATAGAAAACGTAAACAAAAGTGCTACTTGGAAGTAAGAGATTATATTACGCACGTTTGTATTTCATCCAATAAGAAAAAACAATGAGAAAATTTATATTTGAATATAAAGTTACACGAAGTAATTCAGAAATTCAAGTGTCAACTGAACCACGGTAATGCACGCAGTTTTGCGGGTGATCTTTAATAATCGCTACCCTTTTATTTATTTATCAGTTTATGCATATTGAACTGCAACTAGTAGTCAATTCTGTTAAGTTTAAATGGTCAAACAGTTGCAAGTGACCACGGTAGATTGAATCGCGGACCGCCTGGCGCGGATGAAGTGGATCACCGGAGCGCGACGAAAAGTAATTTGTACAAAAAACTGAATTCAACTCTCATTGCGAATGCTGTGTTGTTCGTGATGTTTTGTCCGACCGCACAATATATCGATGGTCATTGTTGCTAGACGTTTTTACGGTACTCTAACTAAACCGCGCCGGTAACGATCAGAATTTGCAGTGTACTTTCAGTTTTGCTTTTGGCTCGGGAAAAGTTTTCAATATAAACTTTAGATAGTTTGCGGGTGCGTTATTGTAATAAAAACAAAAAAGTGTTGGTTTCGGAATATGGGAGTTTTAAAGTGGTTGCGGCGGTGAGTACGTATATTTAAATTATACTTTTGATTTAAAAAAACATTTTACGTTTACCCTTACATTGTTTGATGAGTTATTTGGTAATCTTTTATTTTGTCAAATCCGTTAAATGAAGTATATATCCAAAGTGCAATATAACGATGACTATTGACTATAATGTAGGTTATAATTATTACAACTTAAAACTTTTCTTCTATTTATTTTACAAACATGCTTTTCAAATATGAAATACATAAATTAGTCTCCTTTACTAATTTACAATCTATTTAAGTACGTAGTAATATTAGTATAGGTATATAATCGGTTTTAAAGTTACTCGAATGTATTTGTTACATATGTATTCCGTACATAATATACTTACACAATCCTTTGCTGAATTGTATAAAAATCTATTGATCTGACTACAATACATGGAGGTCACATACCATGGTTCTATTGTGAAAACTTTATTTTCAATGCATGTTTTGTTGCGTTATAATTGTACTAAGTTGACTCGTATGACCGATGACTGGTAATCTGGAAGCGCCTTTTAACTCTGTATTTAGCAGTAGTTAACTGACTTTACTGCTTTTCGGTTCAACGTGAGTATTAGGGGTTCACATTGCCAAAATATTTGTACAAAATATATTTCTGTCTCCTATATTGTTTTTTAAATATTTGAGACAACAATACGATTTGTAGATGTTTAATATTAGACACCTTTTTTTCGTTTTTAATTATGAATGTCAATGAATCTGCAATCGATATTAACAACACAGTTATGAGACGCGTAAACACGCCTTTCTAAGATTTATGGCCAGTTTCTCAGCTACTTTTAACCATTTATTAGTGTTTTTGGGTGCTATAAAATTTAGTTCAACCTAACACTAATGAAGTAAATGGATACTTCAGCAACCCAGCATTAGACATTCTTGCACTTGAATAATTTTAAGCTATATTTAATCTTGTTAAATAAATCGGCTTATTGTATATTGATAAACAGAAACCGTATTTTTTCACGGCGATTGTACATATACAGAGGTTGGCAACCTTTGCAAATTATGTACAATCAATGGATATTTTTGGTTAAAATACTGAGATATCTTTTTATACATTTACAAACATTTGGAAACAATTACCATCAATATGGCGTAATTATTTGTTTTGCTTTTTAAAAGTACGATTTATGGTTAATTACGTCATATTATATTACATTTGCAATTTATTCAATAAAAGAAGCGAAGCGTGATATAGATGCACTTTGATAGTATGGCTTCGTTCACCGAAAGAAGGGTGCGTGCGGCTTCAATATGTTATTTGTATTATGTGATTCATACGCGGTTTTGTTCCCTTTGCGAATTCACATCGATACGCTATTACGACAATCGTAAAAAATGAAAATAAACATCAAGGAATTGAATGAATGAAAGTCCTCCCGCGACCTCGTATAGATCTATAAATCAGTAGTTCATTTTTTGGAAATGATGACATTTATATTTATTATAGTTCAGATCCTTAACACCGTTACCAATTGCTACCGTCATCATCATCAGCTTAAGGTCGGCCACTGCTGAACGTAGGCCTCCCTATCGATTGAAACTATGCCCAGTCCTGTGCCGCCCGTATCCAGTGCACTCCCGCAACCTTGACCAGGTCATCGGTCTATCTGCTACCGTGTAATAGCGAAAAGGCACAAAATACACAATTTAAAGCCAGTCCATGTACAAAGATCTGTGTATAAAGCATTAAGCACTAGCTGTTGCTCGCGACTTCGTCCACGTGAAATTAAAAATAGCTTATGTCATTTAGCGATAACGTAGCTTTTTAACGGTGAAAGAATTTTTGAAATCAGTCCTGTAGTTTTTAAGTTATTTCAATACATACAAGAATACAAATCTTTTCTCTTTATAATATTAGTATAGATTACACCAAAAGTTAGATAAAATTTACAGATTTCCATTAATTATCGTCATATATATTTGTTTACTACTAATATTAACTGATATTTAATTTCTTTTTCTTTTAAAACTAATGGCTATTTTACGGTCATGAAGAACATCTCATTACGAACGATTTAATTTTTTCTTCAACACCTTTTGTTGAATACGATTTTCGAATTGATAGCCCGTAGTTTAATGAGTTCCTTTCAGTATTTGATAGCGGTGCATATTATCGAAAAGTGAAACCTCATTGTCTACCTTTTCGCATGCCTTTCGTCTCTTTGTGTTTTAAAAGTATGTTATATTTTCGTTTTAAAACTAAACTGTGTGAATTTACTTTTTTATAAAGTACCCGCATTTCCATTCTTGATAGTGATAAATATTTTAGCATACAGAAATGACGTAATTCGCAATACTTTCGGCAAACAAACGTTGTGAGGTTTTTATATGAAATGGCGTCAGAAATAACATGAACACGTATGAATATCATTGTTAAATGACTCATATTACATACTAAAAAAACAGGTTAGTCTGAATTGTAGTGTTAATGGGTCTGGTATATTAAAGAAAACTGGTAAATCTTAGTGTTAGGGTTACATAAAATAAAACTAAATCTGGAGATACAAGACGGGACTAAAAGGTTAACTTAATGTGGACATGTATTCATAACTCTTATATGAGGAAGCATTTATCCACGCTCGTTTACAATCCATAAAGAAACTTGACATTTTGACGGTCTACTTACTATGGTAATTATAGACAAAGAACAGACGTTTTGTGATCGTAGATCATTTGATACGCTGGACGTTTCCAATACACTAAACAAACTTACAAAAAAAACCGATGTAAAGTGTCGTATCCTTTATATGATGACGTTCTTTTCGTCGGAGGGGGCAAATATTCGCTGAATATTGTATAACAAGCGAAAGATTTCCTTTACAATATTTTATTTACTTCGTTTTGCAATCTGCTAAAGCTATTTTGCTTTCTGGATTATTTGTGGTAACAGTTTTATTTCAACAAATTGGAATTTAAATTTTCACCATCAGGCCTGTAATACATAATAGATTTTTGACCTGTTTCGGCACTTTGTCTCCGTCTTTTATGTAATACTTAAGATTATAATAACATACTATGAAATTATGAAAGTTTTTAATCTTGTTTATCGAATATTAAACGTCAAAATTGACTGTTGGTGTATTTGTGAATACATTTTTCGATTAAGCTTCGATTATACAAAGATAAATTGTACAATCGATAATGTAGTAATCATAAACAACAAAGTCTGCGAAGCTTTGTTCGGATAGAAATCATCGTTCGCTACTTAATTTTATAGACAAGATTATATAAACAATTCTGTCTGTACGTCAGTTTCTATAAGTTTAAAGAAATAAAAGAAGTAATTCTTCGTTCAACAAATAGTCAAGTGAAAGTGAATTGGGCAATGCTCGTCTGTCTTATCTATAGTCTGTATAGATGTATCAATCTTTTACTATTGTTGTTGATCTTTGTTATAAATTAATCTTGATACCATTTCGTAACAATTGATCAAAAAGTTTCCATTTGCATGTTTCTTCTCTAAATGTTTTATCTCTCGATTAAACTCAATACTGAAAGCAATTTCGTTTTGTGTAATAATTCTTTATATCCTCACTCGTCAGGAATTGAGTTATTTCATTACTGGATAATTACCGCGACTTCATTTGTGCGGAATTAAAAAAAAATAGGAAACAGCTTATTTGATATAAACATGCAAGAATTATTCAATGACATGAATGAGATCATGCATGCTTGTAACCTAAATATTAATAAAAAAAAACTTTTCCGTATTAAAAAACCTGTTCAAGATCGTGCGGCATTTATTGGTTGTGACCTTTGCATGTTATTGAACTGCAATCGAGTTAAGTTTTGCACACAACCGTAATTGCGAAATTAACAGATAAATAGATATCAGTAACTAGTTTCATTCATATAAAATTCACTGTATTTGTTATGATTTTGAAACTGAAAAATTTTGTAAAGACATAAAATGGTTGTAGCTGCAAAATCAGTCCGATATTAACAAAACTATCTATTCATCTCTGTTTTTTAATAGCACTAGCTATTCCTCGCGACTATCCGCGTGAAGGAAAAAAAATATAGCCTATTTTACTCGCTGATAACGTAGCATTTAAACGGTGAATTGTTTTTTTCAAATCTGTCCAGTAGTTTTTGTTTTTGAGTTATTTCAATACATACAAAAATACAAATCTTTCTTCTTTATAATATAAGCATAGATGAGAGAAGACAATATGATGTTCGGTTTTTTCTACAAACTCACAGTTAAGTTAATATTCAGGGTTTATTAACATTACCAAAGTATACAGTTGCAGTTGCCTAACCTTGTTATATTGTAATTTTTGTACTATTTAGATCTATTGCAGATTTAATTTATTCAAAACAGTTTTGTTACTTTAATAGAGTTTTAATCAAATTTGTGCCATCAGTTGTTTATAGCCGGAAGTCCGTTTTTTGTTACCGATTAAATCGTAACTGAATCGATAATGTTACCGTTTTTTTAACATCGATCACTATCTTCTCATTGTCGATGTAGTTTTTTTTCTATCTCTGTTACTGATTTCTTAATCGTTGTTACCGTTTCCATTTGTACCAATTCTTTGGTTGATAAGGATTTTAACGTGACGTAACACGAATTACATTTGAAACGGTTAAATTGGATTTTAAAAAGAAAATTGGTAAAAGTAACTTCTATTACGGCTACTGTTACATTACGGTAAAGGAAGCCATCGTCATGCAACTTGCACATATCTGCGAAGGAATTCAAAGATATGTGTGAAATAAACCCGCAGTGGGTGGTTGACTATGGCCTAATCACCGCTAACTTAAAGTAGACTCCGAGCCCTTCAGTAGGGACGTATAGGCAGATGATGTTCAGACTATCTAACTAATATTTTAAATGCGAAAGATGGATGGATGGATGTTTGTTAGAGTTTGTAGCCTAAACGACTGAACGGATCTTAATGAAATTTGGCATAGACGTAAAGCATAGTCTGGAAGAACACGTAGGCTACTAACTTTCGTTTTTTTTTTTAATTCCACGCGGACGGAGTCGCGGGCGAAAGCTGATTATTTATAAAGCATTGTATATTTGCGAAATATATTAGTTATCTACGACTTATTACCGTGAAAGATGAAGTATTATTTTATGTACAAGGTTGGCTTAAGGATAAAGATATCTGGTCGAAATTTCACTTTACTTAGCCAAGAATAGGTTAGTTATAACAGATATGTTTTAGAAAGTATGGAAATATAACTTTTATCGCTTATGAGATAAGTATCAAAGTTATATAGACATTAAATGCTTGCTTCTGTACTATAATTTCACTTAATTGTTATAAATGACTTGTTTATAATTATGGGCGGTTTAAGTGGACTCTCTCACGGAACTGCTTTGCTAAATTCCGTTCGGCCATTAGCTTCCGTTTGTAGTGCGACGTTCCCAGCCACGGCTATTATCGTGTCCGAGGCAATTGTTGCCTAAAATGTACCTCCATTAACTTCGTTTGTCCATTACCATGCTAAATGCAAACTTTAGTGAACCGAATAACGGTTTGACTCGTGTATATATGTACAGAAAAGAAATTATAAGTAATCTTACTTCTTACTAATATTATAAATGCAAAAATGTAGATGAATGGATGGATGGATGGATGTTTGTAAGCGTTTGTAGCCTAAACGGCTGAACGGATCTCCATGAAATTTGGCACAGATGTAGAGGATAGTCTGGAAGAACAAATAGGCATTTTTATCCCGGGAATAGTTACGGTTTCCGTATGATTCACTAATTTTGCTTTTTAATGTTTACTCGATTATTCTGCAACGGTTCAACATATCTTATTGAAATTTGGCACAGATATAAA